GAGAAATATCCTCAAAATGAGCAAGTCTGAAGTTAGTATGATGGTACGTATTCTGAGTGGACACACAGGGTTACGAGCACATCTATGCAAAATTGGACGTGCGGATTCAGACGAAGGTAGAGCATGCGGAGAGGACAGTGAAACTCTGGAGCACTTTCTTTGTCACTGCCAGGCATTTGTCGAAGTTAGATCCAAGTATCTTGGAAGTGATGTTATCCCGGAAATAACATTCCTGACTAACACTGATTGGAAAATTCTTAGGAAATGACCGTCTTTTATGTGTGCATTGACTCTTTGTCGAACTGCTGGTATGTTATTACCTATCCCAAGTCATTTGACGATATAGAAATTTATTAAGACGAATACATACATATTTCCAAGCATTATAAACATCAGCATAAACGCAGAATACCCTAACCACTATAGTGGTGTAGGGTATAAAAATACAACATGTTGAAAATAAAATAAATTTTAAAACTTATGAATTACCTATAATTTTCTATCCATTGAGAAAAATATAAATTTTACTTAAAATTTCCAATATGAATACGTGATTTTTGCACGCAAGCCATTATTTAAAATAGTGCAAATTGACTTAATAGTAACAACTTGAGTAAATTCATTTAAATTTTTATGAATAAATTAAAAAAATACATGCATAGGAATCTTTTACTTCACAGATAGTTTTCTACGAATTAATTCAGTTTAATAGAAACGCAACAAATTATGTAAATACAAATAAATAAACAAATGAATGAATGTTAATTGGATTATTGTAAGTTTTTTTTGTTGTTATTTTCTATTAAATAGAAAAATCAGAATTAAATATAAAAAAATAAATTTTCCTTTAAATGTTAATTAGAAAAGTTAATTTACAATTAATATTTACTAGCGATTGGAATTTTATGTTTATCGTGATCGTTTGCAAATAACATTCTATGGAAATTGTAGATACAAGTTACAGACATCGTAACTGAAACATTTGTTATTGTATAATAATGCTATTCTGATTACAAATCCGGGGAGACATTTAATGGAAATTTAGAATTCTAGACTTCATATATTATTATTTTCATGCCATTCTTTTTTCATTAAATATAAACATTAATTTTGCTGATTTTAGTATTTTTAAAAAATATGACAAAATTAACTTTTGAAGTCACATGTTTTTGAAAAACATGCAAATGTCGCAGGTGTCATATGCCCGGACAAAAGATGTTTTGCAAATTTTGAAATAAAAACAAAACATTTTAAAATGTCACTTAGGAATTTTAACATCTTTTTTTAGATCCAATTATTTTTAAAATAAGAACTATATATAAAATCTTTCTCAATACAAAAAGTATGTACGTGAAAAAAAATGTTTTTTAATTTTTATTTTATTGTTATATTGTATAAGTAAATAAAAACATTATGAATTTTCTGATTGCAATAACAATAAAACTTATATTTTTGTTGGTAACTAAAAATTTTGAATGTCTTTTCTTCGTCTTTAAAGACGTATGTATGTATATACTTGACAACGGATGCTATAGAAAAATTTGGTATCAATTTGGTACCAGGCGTGTATATTTTTTCCCTCTGTATACATTGGGAGGGTATATTGAATTTGTGTTCAATCATTTTCTGAGTCTATTTGATCTCCTATTGTACTAGGGACGAAGCCTATTGAAAAGTTAAAATCGGTAGAGTATTTCGCCTAGCCCTATACAAATCAATCACTCGAATAGGGCTTTTGATCATATCTTGGACAAAAGCGGCAAAACAAAGCCCTAATAACCCTGCCTAATTTTGTAATGATCGGTCCTCTCTTGACCCATACAAAGCCCTCTTGAGAAAATGTCATTAGTTACCAGAATTCGTTTAAAAAGACTATTGCCGCTTAAATACTGTTTATGTAAACTCAAATCCATCCACCAAATTTTATGAGGATCGGTCAATATTTTCCCCCAGTCCCCATGTCAAACCTGCTATAATTCCTTACTTGCATTTTAATTGCCAATATTTACTACATACTAAGTTAAATTACAAAAAGGAACCCGCCAAATCCCGTAACCCCTTTAATTAAATATTGCGTAATTTCAATAAAGTATGAATGACTTTCTGTATTTAGATACATTCGTTTGAATGCATTTTTACTATAGTTTGAAATCAAATACTATAAAATAATTAAAAAGCACGTACTCATGGTCAACTGCACGATCTACATATATATTTGATATGGCATGTGTGAGACAGAGAACGTGTTTCACACATGTCATATAGTTGGTTAACGATGAACTATAAAAAACATGTATCTCTTTCGATGACGTTTGGAAAATCCATGTAAATATTATAATATTACTAGGGACGTAATTGGTGGTTCAAAAACACAGATCTATATTTTATTAGTCTGACTTATTTCATGTCAGCATGTTTGATGGGAAACAACTTCGCCAACGTGTCAACCAACTTCGCCGCGACTTCAAACGTAACACTATCAGTTATTCCGACATCTCCACAGATACAACTCAGAATCTCTCTCATCCATCAGAAACAAGTATCCGATGGTACATCGCGCACCACCTTATACCCAATCTTTGCATTATCAGCTAAAAATCCAACATTTTATAAATCCACAGCCTTGCCCTGGAGAGTTAACAGAAAGTTATCTCGAAAAAATTATATTTTACCGTGTATCAATCTTTTAACCAAGCATACCTTCCCGCAAATTTGGGTTTAAACCACAGACACTACGTGCATCCCGAAGGAGCCTCTGGTTCGACCCCATGTCAAATCAATCCAAGGAAAGGCCGAGGAAACATTTGATCATCACCAATTAATAATCTGGGCAGACTAGAGGTACTGGTAGCACCTCTTTACCCCGGAATTGCAATACACCAAGATGGTGGCGCCCGGATCCCCCAGGCTTGTTTCCTTGATGAATGATACCATCTTAGTGTATATATATGTATAATATATCTATCAGGAAAAGGGTACACATTTTGTTCCTCTTGCTCTGGGTAACCACTATGAATAGCCTCCTAAGGATCCTGATTTTGACCTGTCTGCCGAATTTGTAATACTTATAATTTAATTTGAGAAGGAGAAATAGTCCATATTACTTGTGAAGAAGAGCTGAAGAAGCGCTAAACTCGGCCATAATCTGGGTTTAACCAAGATTGTTAATTGTTAATCTGGCAAAGACGAAAAGACTTAAGCTTATTAAACCATTTTTACAGAGCGACCGACAGAGTTAAGGATTTATTTGAAATTAAATTGGAAACACCCCAGGGAGGATATAATAATCAGGGCACATCGGTGCCGTGCACTATGTAGGAGAACCATACGCACGAAATGTGGAGCCTAAGTCCAACTATGAATTAACGTCTTTATAAAAGAGTTATTAGTCAAATTCTAACTTATGCTTCAATAGAACTGATGTACTTCATTAGACAAAATGTGCAATATAAAAAATCTACAGGGAGTTCAGTGAGACTTTGAGCTCTACGTCAACCAAGTCAATGGAAACGTGGCTCGAATTTCCTCCTACTGAAACGTATATAAGATATAAGGTCAAACTTACTGATGAACGGCTCTGCAAACTAACTAAAGTCGGTTACAGGACACATCATAAATGTATTCTGGACACACAAACATTGAACGTGCCCGATCGCACAGACACAGAGTACATTGGGATCATTAAAAGCGCTAATCCCAAACAGAATATCTTGGTAAAGTGAAACATCGAGCAAATATCTATAGGAATCAGTTGCTCTCTCTAAATGGGGAGCAAAAAGGGCCTGGGTTTTTTATTGTAACTATAGCTTCTAGAAGTCTGTGCAATGATGGAATGTGTAAACTTGGGCTCATTCGAAATAATGAAACGGTGGGTAGAACCGCAAAGATCTTATGGGGCATTAACTAGACTAAAGGCTACTAAGTGGACTATTTATCAGAAGTTTGAATGTAAGAAAATTACCGATTATGTCGTACACAAAAAAAGCGAGAAGAGGTCGAGAAACCTCTTCAAAATACATATTCTAAGTAAGAGCGGATTTAGACGATTGTAGAGAATGTGGAGAGAAATTCTGAAACAGTTTGATTGTCATTATCAAGATTTCGTCGAAATTGGATCCAAATATCTTAGAAACGATTTATTGCGGATATAACTTCCTTTTCGAACTCTGATTGGAAAATTCTTAGGAATTAAGAACAGGAAACTCAGTTTCTGAACATCGGATAATAATACCTTAATAGAACACTGTATAAGACTTTCCCCACCAACATGTTCCATGCAAAGAAGAGCGTACAATAATGGAATATAATGATAACATTAGATATTACCAATTGGTTGGGCGTATTTACCCTATTAGTGGGGCGTTTTGGATCAATGCATATCAAAATTTAGTCCAGGCCTTAAAAGAGAAACTTTTTTAACAAATCTCTGCAACGCTCACAAATGCCCTATTAAATAATATTGATAATTAAACTGACAATACCTACTCGACTCACTGTAGGGTCTGCTATACTTAGTAAAGCAATATTTAAAGGTCATGAATGGATTTACTGTAAATTATCAGAAATGTGTATTTGACCTTTTTATAAATGAGTGCCTGAAAATGTGTGTGGAATTTTAATGATATTTTAAATAAAAAGTACCAGTTTTTTTGTTTATATTTATATAATTTGTTTTTATTTATTTAATTTTTTTTTTTTTTCATTGAGGTAAACTTAATTATAAGACAATGTGTTTTTTTCTTTCTTTTCATTTAAATGCTTACGAAAAGCTAACATAACAAAAATATTTTTCTTAATTTTAATTATAAACAACAATACTGTGCTTTTTCTAACAATATTATTTTAAATATTATTTACAACTATTTGTTTATTTAAGTTTTATAAAATGTTTTATTACATTGTTTTTTTTTTACTTTACATATTTTGTGTTTTTTTCAAATAAAGTTCAATAACATTATTTTTTTCCATTTCGTAATGTTTTGTAATTAGTATGTTTTTTTTTTGCTTACAAATTAATTAATAGTTTAGAAATTAAACAAAAAACTGTCTGGCTGCCAGACGGTTTGGTTTGTGTGTTTTCAATGTTTTCATTTTTGTAATGAGATTTTTCTTGACTCGATTACTTTTGATTTTTTTTATGATATTTATTAATGTTTAATACAATTTGTATAAAAATATAATAGATTTTGTGTTAAATGCAGCTGTTGTAGTATTATAATGAATAAAATAGCTGTTTGTTTTCCTGGAGATTGTGTTTAACTAACTAAATTTCTAATTATTTAGTTGACCTTGTTGCTGTCTGTCCTCTGCCACTGACGCTGCTGCTTGACTGCTCTTTTACTGCACATGTTGCCGCTTTATAAAATGTCTCTCCAGTATTAATTTGTTTTTTTATTATAAATTTACATAGATTCTAGATAAACTGCCTTAAACGTCGGTTCAATATTAGTAGTTTGTTTTGATTGGTTTCTAACGGGAAATTATCCAAACGTTTCCAGCGTTTTATACTCGTTTCTCGGTAATTAGGGGAAACCCAATTATACCTTTTTATAGGTTAGAGTAGTTCCCTTTTTTTTTTGCAAAATTATGTCCAAAATTTTAGAATTATATTTAACTTAAGCTAATTCACACATTGGGCAGCTGAACAATGGGTTTTTGGGGAGAATCCCAGTAAGCTTCACAGTAATCCACCAAAAGAGATTCCAATTTGTTGAGACTCTCTTCGTTGTGATCACCAGTCCAGGTTTTTTGCACTAGACAGCAGGATTCGATGGTGGTTTTGCCCAGAATGCGGCTTAACTTGATGGGGCAATCCACCTTGATGACATAGATATCGTTTTCATAGCAAAAAGCTTCCAATAGTACTTCATGCATATGGGTGGCAGAGTCACCATCTTGGGGCACGGCCATTAGGCAAAAGAGTGAGCCCTCGGCTGCCTTGGAGAGCACCTTAATGGCTGCTGATAAGCCTACAATGACACGTGACTCGGTTTGTGCCTTAAGCAAGGCATTCTTAACAGTGCGTCCAATTTTAGAGTAATCCATGTTGGCATCTGTTAGATTGTTTGTGTTGAGGTTGCTGTTGTTGTTGTGGCTGCTGTTGCCTAGGGGGCCTGCCATGTTGTGATAGGATTGTATCTGCATAGCTTCCACGACCATATTGTTGTTTTCAGTTAAAATTAAATGTTGTTCTTGAGTATCAATTTTTGAAATGTTATTTATTTCTTTGGTTAAAGCACTAGATACTTTTCTTGTTGTTGTTGTTATTTTTGTTTTTATTTTTAGTAAAAGTTCTTTCTTTTTTTTAATAGTCTTTATTTACTTTTCTTGTTGTTGTTTTGTTTTTTTTTTTATTATACAATAAACACTTGTTGTAGATTTCTTATCTTCTTTACTTTGTTATTGTTCTTGTTGCAATTATCTTTTTTATTGTAATTGTTATGAAATTCTTTTCGCGCTTTAAATTTGCTTTGTCACTTGACGCGTTTGTAAATTTGTGTTTTTTAGCGTTTGCTTTTATCCGTGTGTTTCAATTTTGAGTTTAAATTTCACAATGAATGCTGTTGCTCCACTGGTTGCTGCTTATATACCCCAACTCTCTGGGCGCATTTGATTTCCATTGAATTTCACAAGAAATTCAGTTGAAAATAAGCTTTTTGTACCAAAATTTCACTCTTTGGCGCTCTTAAGTAAACACAATCAGCTCGCGTCGCACTCTTTACACTCTTGCTTTTAATGTTTGTGGGGGATTTTGGGGCTCTCACAAAACACAAAAAAAGCAAATTCAATAGAATTCCCCATAATTAGCGTAAACTACATTCATTTTTTTTTTCATATAAAAAATAAATAAAACGTTTAGTATACGTTTGTTAAACAAACCAAAATTATTCTGTTAAATGAGCAGCGTTATGGTTTATTTGTTGTTGTTTTGTTTTAGTAATTCTCCCACAAAAATGGGGAGGTAAAAACCCAAAAATCGTGTTTTATTAATTCACTACATTACGATTTCCGCGTATTTTTTGCTCTTTTTTCTAAATTAGAAATTTTTTTGCATTTCAATTATTTGCAGAACAAATATGTAATATGTAATTATATTTCATTTATTATTGACTTACTTTTATTTTAGTTAATTTTTTCTTTGAAATTATTTGTTTTATTTAAATGTTTTTACTTATTTGCATAATTATTATTTATTAATTTACTCTTTTCGTTTTGAGTTCCACCTGTTATATTTTTTGTTAATAAATTTTCTAACTTTTTATCTCTTTATTATTAAATTTCTTTTTACTCTCTACGCTCTTTTTACTCAAATTATAAGACAAAAGTTAGTTAAACTTGAAGATAACGATAACCATAAAAAATGATATTGAAATTATCAACTAATGCTTGCATGATCATGTTTGCTCAAGTATTGTTAAGTCTGGTAGAGAACTGAAATGCAAATTGTACGGGTTTTTAATATACTTAAATAATTTCCCTTTCATATGTAAAAAAAATTATTAAAAAGTCATCTGTTTTAGGTTTCTGAAATCATTTTTAAGTGTAAAATACTTAACGTAGATCTTAAAAATCGCCTTCGATTTTATGATCAATTATTTCACAAGAATTGCATAATAAATACAAAAAAATGTTCAATGTAGAGAAAGAGAAATTTTCCAATTTCTAGAAGTTGGATTCTTCGTTTTACCAAAGTAAACTTGTGATTTAAACTTTATATCCAATAAATGAATCGACCTTCCAAAATTCACATTCACCAAATTTATGGGACATGCTTTATAAAATTCAGCATAGCCGAATAAATATAGCATTGATATTTGTTATACCCTACACCACTATAATGGGGGAGGGTATTATACGTTTGTGCTGATGTTTGTATACCAATCGGCTTAGAATCATTTTCTGAGTCGATTTAGCTATTTTCGGCCGTCCATGTAAACCTTGTAATCAAACTACAGGTCGCAATTTTGAAAATAATTCAATGGTTAACATCGGTCCATTATTTCACCTAGCCCCCATACAAATGAACCGGACGAAGAGGACTTTAAAGTTCATAATTACGTTTAATATACTATATACTTTAATATACTCGTATCTCGACAAAAAGCTGCAAAACCAAGTTCTCATTTGAACATAGCCCCTATTCAAAGCCCCCTTCAAAATTTGACTTAAATGTCCACAATTTTATTCAACAATAAATGGCTTAAGTATATCTAAGGCAAGGTCCAATTCAAATTAAATGCTTTATTATGAAAACTAAATCACATTTTTTTTTGTAATTGGTGTAGGGTATTATATGGTCGGCCTCGCCCGACTATAATTTGTAGTATATGATCCATTTAGGTAATCCATGTTTCGGATTACGTACTCTCTTATTTTTAGCCAGGGAGTAGTTTTAGGATTACTCTGATGTAATACAGGGATGAATTACGTGGACATCACAATGTTAAATGGAGTATGCTTTTTCTACATACATATTTGGATTAGTTTTGGACCTTTTGGTCCGTTTTAGGAGAACTCTTTACACACGTATTATCGCTTAAAAGTTTAATCTACACAGAAAAAATTACATTGAACAAGTAAAAGTGTCATCTTCGGCTATGCCGAAACTTATATGCCCACCATCAAACCGTATACCGTAAAAGGAATGTTCCCCTATAAACATCAGGGAGATATTTGGAGTGGACCTTATATGTATGGCAATAGGGTCAATTATAGACAGATCCTCAAAAAATTCGTTTTTGAGAGATTTTTGCTCGTAAGAAACTTTCTTATGTCGAATTACATCGCTATGCTAGTATTTTTTTCCAGTAAATAGCGTTAAAGTCATTTTATGAAGGGGACCTTATATGGAGTGTAGGGTTAATTATGGACCGATCCTTATAAAATGTGCTACAGAAATTTTGGTTCGTAGGGAACTTACTTATGTATGTCCAATTTCATCGCAAAACTTGTATTTTTAAGCCATTTTCTGAAGGGGGGCTTTATATGTGAGATAGGGTCAATTATGGACCGATATTATTAAAACTTGCTAGAGAGCTTCCGGTTCATATCAAACTTATTTATGCTAAATTTCGTTGTTATTCTCTTATTTTTAAAATAGTTATGGCTGTTGAAGCTGTTTTTTCGGGGGGCCGCTTGTATAGGGGCTATGCGAAAACGTGAACCAATATTGCCCATTTTCAATACCAAACAAACCTTACCTATATTATCTTACTTTTGTAAATTTTTGACCCTCTAGCGCGTTCTGTTCGGACTCTATCGTATTTTCAACAGATAGTCGAATGGACATGGCTAGATCGTCTTAGAATTTAATAAGGACCCAGAATATACATACATATATAATTTTGTGGGTTTGATGTGTTACAAACGGAATGACGAAAACAATACACCCCCCATCTTTTTTGATGGTGGGTATAAAAATAGTTTAAGTCGTTATTTTAACACAGTGATGACATTCGAAGCTAGTACTTATATGATTGCTTACAAGTAGAGAGTTAGGTAAGTACTTACTAATAAGTTATTAAGTAACTAGTTTTGATTTTGAGATTTGATTTGATTTTGTAAATAAATAATACACGAAAACAAAATGTCGAAGCATAAAAGTAAGTACTTACGTGTATAGTTATTACTAGACTCTCTCTTAGTACTATAGAGTATCTAGGAGATATTAAAAAGTAAGTTCTTGAGTAAGTACAAGTAATTACCATGTTTTTGCTGGATATAAACATAAACCCCGTCCCAAAAATTAAATTTTTTATCTTTTACAAGCGATATAACAAAATCAATATACTCCCTTTTTATCGGTTAGATAAAAAGTAAGATCAAATTAAACGAGGTCAGTCCTTATTTAATTTATTATATTATTTTGCATTTAACAATTACTTTGCAAAATTAATTTCATTTGTACTCACAGTAACGACGTCAACTATAGTTTGTATTTCTTATTCTGTTTAATATTACGAAATTGTTAAATAATAATAATTAACATGATTTGGTTGCCGATTCAATTTTATGCCAAAATAAGATAAAGAAACACGTGTGAAATGATAATAAAATTTTCTAATTTTAGTGGTTCGATTAAATTTATTTATAAACAATTTTGTTTTGGATGCAAATTTCCTAACAGTTACTGGCAGAGATTAAATTAATTGTTGTTGTTTTTTTTTTTTTTGTATTTCTTATCGGCAACAACAAACTTCAAATGTATGTCAAAATATCTCAGTTTTCGAGAAAAAGCAAAGTACAAAATATTTTGACTTGGTAATAGCAATACTTTAATTGTTTTTTGTTAAGCAATAAAAATACGAATATTTTTTACATAAATCTTTTTTAAAAATGTTCAATTGATATGAAATTTATTTTTATTTGTGTGTGTGTGTGTCTATATTATTAAGAATTTGTAAATTCTTAAAATGGTTGATATTTATTATTAAGTAATAGTTGTAAAATGAAATGTTCTATTTTTTATATCTTATCAAATTCAATAGAAATTGACCCTGGTCATACAATTTTAAAGAAAATTTTGTTTTAAAGAATTATAACAGTCACTTAGGTGAAAAATTTCAAAATCATTTTCTGCAAAACACTTGTTTTCACGGGAATCTACCAAATAGTCACGTTATTTCGAAAAATCACATGTACTACAACAAAATAAAGAGTGTGAAGACAAACAGAAGACATTTCTCATTAAGGGTATTCACAAAATATTAAACTAGAATTCTCAATAAGAAAAATATTATTTATTAAATTGTCTACAGTTTCTTTCTTTTTTTAATTGTTATCAAATTTTAAGCTCGTCTTCTGGGTTTTAAATCCTGATATTATACAAACCCCTTAATTTATCTGCCAAAAAATTTAAACTTTCTTTGCCGGGGAATGCCCCTTGTATTGTTATTTAAAAAAAAAGTTGGTCTATTGCCAATTTGCGACAGGTTGACTAAATGAAATTCAAATCAACAATTGTTGGCAACTAATTTCTAGTAAATATTATTTTTGTTTTGGATGCTGTCCCACATCTGCTAAAGTGCCATTTCAAGAGCAAGTTCTGTCTACTAAGAAATCATAAACAAATTTGACGTCAGTTTCAATAAATTGTGTTTGTGTGTTATTTTTTTCAGAGATATTTTATGAATATTTAGAATTAGAATTAAGGAAAAAGTCATCAATTAATTAAAAATATAAATGTTTAAGAACTTATAAAATATTGTCAATTTCTACGTTGAATTGAATATATTTTAAATAAACACTAATGAGCAATGTTTGGCAGGGGGTATTTACAAAAGTTTTTAAGGATCGTAATAGTTTTTGAAGAATAACCCAGCAAGAAGTTAAATTTGGATTTAAAATGCTAAATTTTACTTACATAATCACTCCTATCGCTAATAGAAGTGAAATTTTTGTTCCCTTGAAATTTTCATTCCCCTCGGAGGGAAAATTGCTATCGTGAACATGTTGTTAACAATTCATTCACAATAGTTGATTTTGTATGCAACAGCTGTTCAATGTTTACAAAATTCCATCAAGAAATTTCACAAGAGGGGAATTTTTTTCACGACAAAAATGTTAGTAAACGAAAA